AGCAGCAGTAGTTTAAATGAATCAAAGAAGTGGTAGTTTAGTAAGGGTTGTGTTTGGTTATAAGTAACAAAGACAAAATAGTGGCTTAAGGCTTTATTACATTTGTGTGTATGTGTACATGGTTTACTCCACACATAAAAGAAGTACAGAGGCAAACAATTCAGATTTGTTATATTGACTTGGTGGTGGTAAAAACCCAATTTCTTTCTTTCTTTTTTTTTTTTTTTAGCCAGGGTCTCACTCTCACCCAGGCTGGAGTGCAGTTGTACAAACACGGCTCATTGCAGCCTTGACCTCCTGGGCTCAAGCAGTCCTCCAATCTTGAGTAGCTTGGACCACAAGCTCACACCACCACCACGCCCAGCTAATTTGTGTGTGTGTGTGTCTGTGTATGTAAAGACAGAGTCTTGCCACGTTGCCCAGCCTGGTCTGGAACTCTTGGACTCAAATGATCCTCTTGCCTCCGCCTCCCAAAACATTGGAATTACAGGCATGAGCCACCACGCCTGGCCCCAATTTCTATACTGTTGCTTTGTTGTGCATAGATTGTCTTCCTAAGGTTACCTCATAGTCCAGGATGACTGCTAGAATACCAGCTATTACTTCCACATTTTAGGCAGTAAGAAGGAGGAAAAAAAGATAAAGAAGGGCATCCTTTTTTTTTTTTTTTTTGAGGCAGAGTCTCACTCTATCACCCAGGCTGGAGTACAGTGGCACGATCACAGCTCACTTCAGCCTCAACCTCCCAGGCTCAAGCAATCTTCCCACCTCAGCCTCTCAAGTAGCTAGGACCACAGACGCACACCACTGCACCCAGCTAATTTTTAAGTGTTTTGTGTATGGAAACAAGATCTCCCTATGTTGCCCAGCATAAGCATCCCCTTTTTTATAGAAAGATCCCAGAAACTGGCGGGGGGCGGGGGATGACTCACACCTATCATTCCATCACTTTGGGAGGCTGAGGAGGGTAGATCACCTGAGGTCAGAAGTTCAAGACCAGCCTGTCCAACATGGTGAAACTCTGTCTCTAGTAAAAATACAAAAATAAGTCAGGCATGTGCCTGTAGTCCTAGCTACTCAGGAGGCTGAGGCAGGAGAATTGCTTGACCTGGGAGGCAACAGAACGAGACTCTGTCAGAAAGAGAGAGAGAGAAAGAGAGAGAGAAGGGTTCCAGAGGAAGGGAGGGAAGGAAGGAAGGAAGGAAAGAAGGGAGGAAGGGAGGGAAGGGTTCCAGAGGAAGGAAGGGAGGGAGGGAGGAAGGGAGGGTTCCAGAAACTTATACCATAGAAACTTTTATACCATATTTCTAGACCACATACCCTGTACTATATAGGATTTCTCCTTTTGTCTCATTGACCGGAACTTAGTCATATGGCTGCAAGGGAAGCTGGGAAACACGGTCTGTTCTCTAACTCGCAGTATGCTCGACTAAGACGTTGTTCCTTTACTAAGGAAGAAGGGGAAAATGGATATTGGGAGATAACCAGTAGTGACTGCCACAGGTAGATATTATCACTGGCCTCATCCCACAGATGGGGTAAGGTGAAGAGACTTTCCTTGGGAGCCCAGAGGAGTACAGGATCTGATCCCAAGCCCTTTACCATCAGGCCACATGACACAGCACCTGTGAGTGAGGCTGAACAAGAGAGATGAGGTATGTCTTGTTACTTGCTTACCACCACAGATGAGGTTAATTGGCAAAGCAAAAGAAATAGAAGCTGTAGAAAATACATTCTGAACATTCCTTACTGCCCATAGCCTGGTGCTGATGGATCAGACAGCCCCAAGGGCCCTGGCATCTATTTTAGGAAAAGGCTAAATATATTTAAGTATATTCGTAGGAAGGATACAGTACCACATGGTAACATTATTGATTATTAGTCTTTATGGTAGAGTGAAAGTCATATGCCACTATTTTATAACATTAAAGACTGACCAATTATGTATGTTTTTCAGATAATAGCATGCTTCTTGAGTTAAACCATGAGAAACAGAGTATAAAGTGGTACAATTATCTCAACCAGTGGTTCTTAGTCCCTCTTGGGCCATATATATTCCCTTTGGGATTCTTTGTTTGTTTGTTTGAGACAGACTCTCACTCTGTTACCCAGGCTGGAGTGCAATGGCGCAATCTCGGCTCACTGCAACCTCCGCCTCCTGGGCTCAAGCAATTCTCCTGCCTCAGCCTCCCAAGCAGCTGGGATTACAGGCACGCACCACCACACCTGGCTAAGTTTTTGTATTTTTTAGTAGAGATGCGGTTTCGCTGTGCTGGCCAGTCTGGTCTCAAACTCCTGACCTCGTGACCCGCCTGCCTTGGCCTCCCAAAGTGCTGGGATTACAGGCATGTGCCACCGCTCCCGGCCTGGGATTCTCATAAATCCTCTGGGCATGGTGGCTCATGCCTGTAATCCCAGCACTTTGGGAGACCAAGGTGGATAGATCACGAGGTCAGGAGTTGGAGACCAGCCTGGCCAATATAGTGAAACCCTGTCTCTACTAAAAATACAAAAAATTAGCCTGATGTGGTAGTGTGCACTTGTAATCCCAGCTACTTGGGAAGCTGAGGCAGGAAAATCGCGTGAACCCAGGAGGCGGAGGTTGCAGCGAGCCGAGATCGCACCATTACACTCCAGCCTGGGTGACAGTGAGAGACTCCGTCTCAAAAACAAAAAACACACACACACAAAACAAAACAAAAAAACACAAAAGTATAAACCCTCTCTCTAGAAAGACGGACATTTGTTTCTACTCACAAAGTTTGGCCTGTAATCTTAGGGAGCTCATCAACTGCCCTGAAGCCCATCTAATGCGTTAAATATTTCAGGAAAGTTTTTGGGAAATGTTCTAAAAAGCAAATCCAGTGCAAGGATAAATGAACAGTCCCATAGTTCCATAGTTCCTTACATACACATACACACATCAAGGTCACAGTGGGCATCACACCTCATCAACACGGAACCTTCCAGAACTTTATAATATAGAGCATTTTATAAAATATGAATGGTCTGAGCAATACATGCAGGACTGCAGCTTGTTTATATTCATTCATTCAGCACTATATCCTGGGGATCTCTCCAAGTTGTCTTCAATTTTTCATAAGCATGATACATTCTTTTTTTTTTTTTTTTGGAGGCAGAGTCTCGCTCTGTTGCCCAGGCTAGAGTGCAGTGGTGCGATCTTGGCTCACTGCAACCTCTACCTCCCGGGTAGAAGCGATTCTCCTGCCTCAGCCTCTCAAG